GTTGTCTCATGACTTGCTTGTTTCTAGTTTAGAAAACAATTGCTACCTAATATCTTTTGGGAATTTTTTTCTTGATTATCGGTGTTAAACTTTCTTTTTCAATATTTAAATTATTCATTATCGTAAATCATTAGAATATTGAATTATTCTCTTTAATATGTTCACTATTTAAAGGACTTGATACAATGGAAAAAAATTATTCAACTTAAAGTTGAAAAGCGTCAGATTTAGTCGTTTAGCGCATGTTTGTTGTTGCTTTAGTAAGAAAGTATGATGAGTCTTAATAATCTACTATATTTATCGATTTTGTGTAATCGGTTCACGATCGTTTTGCAGATCGATAAAAAAAAACTCGGTAAAGCTCGGTATAGAATTTTTGAAGAAAAAACATAATCGCTACGTTCAGATCAGTGTTCCGAATATAGCGGCAAATCTTTTTTACTCATATATAAATGTGGTTGGCTTTTCCAAATCCTTATAAATGTTCTCGAAAAAGTCTCGGATATTCTCGGCTGTCCCATAGCTTATGAAATTAGCTGTAAATCATTATCACTAGGTAACTGGGACCGTTTGTGCTTCCGAAGCGAGCGTCACGCTGTAACGCTCAAATTTTTTCGAGCTTGACATTTTTATTTTAGTTTAGTGTTACATTTACATTTAATTTAGTATAGTGTTACATTTAATGGTTTCATGATGAATAATAAATATGAGAGATAATTTTCTTTATTTTGATCATTATTTATATGTGGCTTACTTTAATGCTACGAGCTACACGCAACTTATCGGAAACGTTGCGCAGCCATTGGCTGCGTGGCATGCGGCCTGCTTTCCTAACAAACCTTTCCTTCCGAACTTCGTAACCCTAACCTTAACCCTAATGGCACGATGCTACATCTAACTCTAATGTCACGTCCTAATCCTAATGCTACTAACCTAAATGCCACAGTGTAACGTCTATAGACTATAGATTTAGACACGTGATTAATGTAACCGGGACTATTATAATCGGAGCATAGGGCAAAAAGTGTTGGTCGGTGACCAACCAACTTTTCGACCTTTTGCACAGAACGTAAACGTCCTCCGCTTTCGCTTCGGAAATAAACTGAATTTAGCAATTTCCGAGTTTCAATTCTATAAAGCATAGAATTATTTATAAGCTTCATTAGAATTTTAAGAATTCTATTACTATTAAAAAAATTGATAAAGATTATTATTTTAAATCATTTTATAAAGCAACTAGCTGTAACCCGTTGCTTCGCACCGGGGTCAATGAGTTGGGTTAATTATATATATTAATACATCTTGAAATAAAACTCCGATTCGCTTTTATAAGTGATGTTTATTTAATCTATCTTTTGTTTTAATTAGGATGAAAATAAATAAATAATAATAAAATAAAATAAATAAAGTAATAAATAAAGTAAAAATTTAAAAATGATAGAAAAAAAAAAGCCTAAGGGGGGGGGGGCATGACTCATATTCACTATCGAAAAGTGACGCAGAAATTTAGTATCCTTCATTAAGTATGGTAAAAATTAATTTTATAGGGATCTGGTGGGTACTCGGTACCCCCAGAAAAAAAATTTTTTATTGCATATTAAGCAATTATATCTACTGATGACAAAGAAATTTTATTATATTAATCTATCATTACAATGATCTATTATTACGAAAAAAATTACAGAAACATTATTATCACAAAAAAAATACTATTATTTATTAGTGATTAGTACAACCGGAAGTTAATTATCATCAGTCATTTTTTTCACATTAGTAATCAATATTAAATATGTCACACAAATCGCGTGAACTTTTTTTTGTCATGTGCAACGTTTTTTAATGTTTTCTTATTTTTATAAAAAAATTTTTTGCATTTTTTTGCATTTCTATGTAATTTCAAAATGCATTTTTTTTTTATTTTTGCATCGCACGAATCACCCGGACTCGGATCATTAATTCACCATCACGCACTATGTATCTTTTTATTGGTATAGATTAATAATAAGTACTCAAAGAGAATAGAAGAAAAGAAAATTTTAATTATTAATCTATAGTCCAAACCAGTCTTCCATTGCAAGTAACACAAATTACGAGTCGCACAATTTAAAAATTTATTTATACAAACGTTAATGATCTACATGTATTTTTTTTATTATTATGGATTATTTACATTCGTCTTATATATTATATTAAATATGAATCTGTAAGAAAACCAATTTGGATAATAATTTTTATCATGTAGACGTACGTTAAAAGAAAACAGAACGGAATGATTCACATTTAGTTCAAGATCTCAAGATCCGTTCATAGCTTTGGCTTAAAATATATCACCTGATCTTCAAAATCACTCCATTGAATAATTCTTAGAAAACTACGGATAAAATCTAAAACAAAATTAGATCTCGAACTCGTGAAGTGAAACTTGATAAAAAGTTTTATTGCCGTAAAAATAAGTATGAGCTAACCCGTAATATAAATGTGTGACGGATATGCAAATATAAATGAACAGGAATGGTTAGAAATTTTCTTGACGGTCATTAAACTTAGTAAATCATTCACAATTTACCTGTGTACTATGGAATACATTTCATAAAAAAACACGAGATAAACAAGTTTCTTTGTTTGTAATTTAAGTAATCATCTTTATTATCTTTATTATACATGTTTTTTCTTCAGTCATAATTGGAATTTTAATAATACGAAGAGAAATATTTTTTTTGTGTAAAAGGTACCGACTTGCAAATGTAATGACAATATAGTTGTTGTTCTTAAAACGTACGGAAATTTAAACCTTTCATAAAACCCATTATGTCCCATATACCTTAATACAATACCTTATCCAATTCAATTTATTCTCGCAAATGCTTAAATTTTTTAAATAAATGTTCTTCATAATGCGACATCTCATTATAGAACTTACAATGGTCAACATAATATTGTTAATTACAACATCTTTAGGGCGTGATCTCTTAAAGAAAAAAAAATTATGTGCAGTTAATAATAACGAAATAACAAATTCTTTCTCCAATGAATTTGCAATGACTCCAACTCCAAATTATACAGATATTCTAAAAGTTGAAATTTTTAATAAATAAAATTTTGAAGGATTACATGAATGTAAAATATTCAGTAGATTGCTAATCCTTCTCGAAAACAAATTGACTACATCAAAACAAGAATTTTTTTTTTTTTTTACGATTTCTTTTTTGTTGGACTGAAAACTGGATATTTAACATTTTTTAGTATGAAATAGTCAAAAATGAAAGATAAGAATACTTATAATTAAAATATGCTTTTTTTTCAAACCTTTGTTAATATCACCGTTTTCTGGTATACAAAATCCAAAGTAAAGGTTTCCAGATTCTTTGTCTAAACTGAAACAGGAGCTCGTGCATCTATCTCTTAAGACATATTCACGATTTTGGTTCATAATAATTAAAATTTGTGGCGTATGAATAAAAAGTATTATATTACTATTAAGCGGAATAATTTTATGGAAATAAAAAAAATAGATATATATAATTATTCGGTGTGTGTGTCATTCGCAACCAAATTCTCAATCTTATAAATTATGATCTAATTTTTATTTCTTCATTATGTAAGATTAAAGGAATTAAAATTATGAATATAAGGTTTGATTTCACCAATTCTTAAATCTTTTAAAATATTCTTAGTGTCAACTTCACGATAATTCTCAACAACATCCTTTAACTCATCAGCCAACATAATTTTAAAATTTATATGATTCCGACTTGTAATCATGTAATCTTTTTGAAATCTAATTTCCCTAAGATTTCCAACTTCTTTAATGGCATATTTCACCATAATTTCCAGATATTCTCTACGATTTTCAAATGAATTGCGTAGTATTATGGAAACTAAATTTGCGCTAGATTTATCGAGTAATAATTCGAATTCCTTGGGAGATATAGCAAAGTTCAAATCCAACTCAAGTAAACTGGGAGGAAATGATCTGGCCAATTGTCTAATGTGAATAAATGACAATTTTTGATACTTTGGCATATCCAAGAATAAATATGTTAGGGGTAATTTTTTCAATAAATTCTCGTAAAAATCTGATAACGATTCGGAAATTCTTAAGGAGAGACGAGTAATATTTATATTATAATTTTTTAATATCAAGATAATGGAAGAATTAGTTAAATATAACGTTGAAGAGAACGTTTTTAAATTTCGATTCATTGATTTAAGAAGGTAAATTAATAGATTCTCATTTGAATTAAAATTGAAGAGGAAATTCTTGATGTTAAGATCCAGACAATTGGGTAAATTGGAAGAAACGATCTCATGTTCATGATATTCCCCCCTCAAGCTTTGAGTTAATTCCAAACTATCCAACTTATGACAAGAAATTAATAATTGGATCAATAAAGTGATGTCAGATAATCCTTCCAATTTTAAACAAGTTAAAGAGTTCGCATGTAATCGTATGATGGAATAAAAGATGGAGGAATTGCTCCAAAAATTAGTTAACGATAAACTTTTCAACCCCCTTTGAGATCTGATCAACTCGATGATCGCATCATCCACACCGGAAAACTCTTGCTTATTATTTTTATAAATATGAATCGATAAATGTTGAATGTTGTGAGCGTATGTGGCCAAATTGTTAAATAAATTGATCCAATTCAAGGCATAATAATTATCGGCAAAGTTAAAACCCTTATAATTAAATTCTTTCAGCTTGTATAATAAGGTTTGGATTCCATCATATGATGTGACATCCGTGAACTTGATATCGTTATTGCTTTGATAATTGATCGATTTAAACCCATTGGAATGTCTGCAAAATAAATTTCCCAACATTCTCGCAACAAAGTGAACGTTTTGCTCAAATTTATTTTTACTGGGGATCCATAATTTGATCGCGTAGATAAAATTTTTCATGTCAAAGTATTGAATGTATTTCGGATACTCAAATAACAAATCCCCATTGACGACATTTGATGAGATTCGAATCTCTTGAGTTTTTAACAATTCCTTCTCTTCCCTCGTTAAAAATTCAACGTAGATCTTGATCAATTTTCGTCCAAATTTTTTTGGAAATCCATGTTCGAAAGGACGTCTCCATAATATCGGAATTGAAGTTCTACACCAACGTCGATTCACCATCGCACATGAGAATAACGCATTTATATCATTATCCATTGATTCAAATATTTCTTCAAGACAACTCGATGGAAGTCTTTGCATGACATTGTACTGTGATGAGATCTCTAGAGATTCTTCAATTTCTTCAGGTGCATCAGCAACTTCATTTTTAAAATTCTTTATTGTATGCTTTAATAGTTGAACTGGTGATTTCGAATTTACGAAGAGAAAAAAAAAATTTTTTTTTCTTTTTTTTAAACTAATCTTTTTCTTGCAAGAAACTTTTTCGAAATTGCAAAGGAACTTACTTGAAAACATACTCGATAAGCAAAAAAGAAAAAAAGGGGGGGGGGGGAAAAAAAAGAGATTAAAAAAAGAAAAAAAAAAAAAAGGTAAGTTCCGGAAATCCCTCCCTTTTTTTTACGTTAATTAAATAGGAGATACTAGTGATATGCAAATCACGAAAATCAATTCCTATAATGAACCTATAATGAATAATCCCTATTTCTACGGAGCATGTTAACTTTTTTTTTCAATCAAATTTTTTCTTGAACCGCAGCATTTCTTTATGTTACACGGCGGATGCGTGATGTCCAGTATATCTTACCAAATGGCAAAATAAATTTGGGAGTTTTTACCCAAATCAAACATGAATAATAAAAAGAAAATGAAAGAGAAAGAAAATGAAAATGGAGAAAGACGTTAATAATGACGAGTCTACCTTTTTTTTATTGTTACATTTTGGGTTTGTTTTTGTTTCTTTTTTCTTTTTTCTTTTTTTTTTTTTTTTTTTTTTTGTACATTTTAATTTTTTTTTTGTTGACAATAAAAAAAATATGGATAATGTTCGTTTGAATTATGTACAGTCACAAACAAACAGTCTGGTTAAATTAACTAAAACACGATGTTCGGTCAACTTCAAAATATGGTATTTTCGACCATGCCGGAATTTTGTACAACCGACTTTTTATGAAACCTTTGCTGGGAGGGAACAAACTCAATCATCATCATCAATAGCGTCATCTCCTAAAATATTTGATAGTGTTAAGGCTTTCTTTAAGGTGATAACATCGGCGCACTTTAGGATATTTTAGAAAAAATAATTATTAGGTTTATAAAAAAAATAGAAAAGAAAACGGTTACAAGAGAATTTACTACTCACCGAAATTTCTTCCCAACTTTCTCTACGTCTCACATTTGATGAGTGGTTTTCAAAAGCAACGATGGCAATTTTAATTTTAGGACCCCAATACCATGAAAACATGGTAGTCTTGATCACTTTATCCATGCCACCTTCTTCGTTGATGAACCCCCTTTTTTTTGGTAAAAAGTTAAAAGTTACGTCTGTTTGAAAGTATACATTATCCGTTAAATTGTCGCACGTGGATCTCATATATGCTACAAATTTATAAGAATAATTTGGCGGTAACCATCTGTTCTTTCCTAATCCTTTTTTAAAAAACCCTGCTATTTGCGTCCCACTTCCGTGCAAATTATCGTAAAGAGCGAAATGACCCAATAATAATGCCGAGTCAAACGTTATGCTGGCTATTGGACGGTTAGGCATTTTCCATGGCGCGACGCATGTTTTTTCATGACGTTTGGATGTTACTAACGAAGACATTAATATTAGAAATGCCAGATACTCTAAAATGAAGAATTTGACCGATTTCATTTTGAAACTTTGATGATAGATAAAAATTTGCAAATTCAAAGAAAACAATATATATATAAATGATTTTTTTTTTCGAGATACAATTCATCTAAATTATTTTAAATTTTTTTTTTTTAAACAATCAAATAATTAATTTAATTAGATTAGGGGACAAAAAATTTCCTGCTTTTCCATGAAACAAGAAAAGAGTAAAAACAAAAAAGGATAATGATATTTGACCTTTTAAATACTAAATTAAGATATTCAAAAATTTTGGTACGACAAAAAAAAAGTTCATCTAATTACTGCGTGCAACAATTCGGTTGCGTCAAAGCTTCCGCCGGAATTATTGTCGCATGCGCGATGAGCATCAATTGTCATCATTGTATGTATGTGAGCTGATAACACAAATTTTTTAATGCAAGATAAAAAGTTATCTATTTACAGATTCTTTATTTTTTTTTTTTTTTTTTTTTTTTTTTTTTTTGGTAAATTGTTAAAAAGTTCAAAGTTTAAGTTATTTTCATATGTGCATTACATTCAGAATTATGTAGTGGTACAAATAAGTAATCACCTCCTCATTTCATTCATCTGAAACAAAGCATAATCAAATTTTTTTTTTTTTTTTTTTTTTAAATATAAATTCCCCCAATATCCCAAACCTGTGAAAAAAAAAAAAAAAAAAAATCTCTCCCTCACCCATTTATCTTAAGGGAAAAAAACTTATTTAAAGAAAAATGTCACATAATGAAAATAGTCCACTTATTGATCATTCTTATTACGAAGACGACGATGATGATGAAGAAATAAGTTGCATACAAAAATGGTGCTTAATAATTTGTTTTATAATTGTATTGATAGTAGTGATACTAATTTTTATACCACAGCAAGGTGATATTGACCAGAATATTCCAAGTGACATTTCAGTGATTCCGTATCAATATCAATTAAGTTTTAAGAGTCATTGGTATTTTGGTTATTTGATTGAAACGCTACCCGTGGAATTCAAAGATGAGCAGCCCGAATATGTTTTATTAGCCGAGATAATTTCAACTTCAACTTCTTGGACCTTTGGAGATTATGAAGTTCGTGAATACCGTCATAACAATACATCCGGCAATATGTTCCCTGTAAAAACTGTTATCTCGTCTTTGAAGGATAACGCTTATGTATCATTTAAGACATCAAGCGATGCGAATTCAACTGAATCGTTAGATCTGGCAACTTGTGATTATATGATTTCTTTGACTGATACTCTCACAGGATATATATATAGAAAATGTGCGAATTCCCATGAATTAGATTATACCAAAATTTCTAACGTAAAAGGATCTACTACTTGGGGATTAACTTTTTATGATGGTGATGAGATTTACGCTTTGACCTCCGAAACCCAATATTGGTGGAATATGAATAGAAGGTACGTTGTGAATTTATTTATTTATTTATTTTGAAAATTGATTTCTTGTTAAAAAAATACATAAAATTATTACTTTAGGGATGTTGTCGTAACCACATCTGCACCTTTTCCACAAGTCATTCCCGCCATTTACACAGCTTATTACGATACAATCCAACATATTCGTGATACCAAAGGTAGAAGACACTTTCGTTAACAAATCTTCCTGCTTCTTTAGTGATTTCACAGAGTAGAGTATACGTGTATATACATTTATCGGTTATTAAATCACGTATGATGGTGGTTCCCTGCCTACGTACATATTTATTATCTTTTCGTATTTATTTATTTAGATTTTTTTTTTTTTAATAAAAGTTTTGCATCAATTTATTTTTTAATATAGAAAAAATTTACAGATTTATTTTTTGAAATATGTAATTGAAAAGTGATTGTAATAAAAGAAGCACTCGTGATCCGTATTATAGTTAATTAAAAATCTTTACAAGAATGATCATTTGCATTTTTTTTTTCTTTTTATTTCGAATACGCTTACAGCAATTACCGATCTGGAACGTTATCCAAGAAAATCTAAATGGATCGGGAATGGTCATTTTGGATGGTCGTCAGATGTGATTGCCGTGGGTCATTCTTCAATATTTTTCTACGAGGTTCGGTGATGGAAATTTTTAATGACGATTATTTTTAAAATTAAATTATATTATGATATTTATAACCATTCGTTAAATCCAATAGATTTGATCAAATTTCCTGTGTGATTCATTCATTTTCATACAAATATCATGCGATCTACTTTTTAAAATCAACATCAGCTATTTTATAAACTTGATCATCGTTATTTTAATTATTTTAAAAAAAAAAACGAAAACGGAGATCTTTGTGCCACCAATAATGTTGGATTTTTTTTTTTTCTTTCTTTTTTTATTATGAATAAAATTTACATTTTTATTTACAACATAGGTTTATAATAAACTATATAATATAATTAATAATCTTTAAAATCACTTAATTTCCTTTCAAAAATATTTTCTATTAAAAAAAAAAAAAAAAAAATTGTTAGACACGCGATTATTAGTTATAACATATCACTTCAATATATTATTATTATTATGTCACTCACCATGATAACTGAAATCGCAATGTTTTGCTTCATTAATAATAAAAGATTCGTTAGTGATTACTTTACTTCCCCTTTTCTTTTCTTTAGAAACGCTATTTTTGGCATCTTTCAAGCGTTTGGACATTGTTTTTTGAAATTCGTCATCGCTACCGCTCAACCTTCTGTCCTTTCTTCTACATCTATGATTAACTAAATTATTCCAACCCAACTTAACATCTTTTAAACAATTGTCATGTTCTTGGGAATATTTGTATAATCTTTTCAAATAATCAACGTAATTATCATCAACGTGATATAACCATAACGATTTAAAACGTGATCGCGACTCATTTAGTAAATCACTCAAATGTTGAGGAGCGATAAAACAATTTAAATGAATGCACTCTAAAGAAGGTGGTAAGGAAGAAGCTAAATCGTTGATATCAAGCATATTTTCTTGAAAATGTAAATATGGTAATTCTAAATATAATTGACGTAAAGGAAGAATGGAAATGAGGTGTAACAGAGATTTGAAGTTTAGGTTTGGAAGAATGTTTGCGACGTTCAAAGAGGTGATGTTTGTACAATAAGTTGAGAGGATTTGTAAAACATTTGAAGTGATTAATTTTGTTGATAAGGTGGTTAAGTTTGAATTTATCATTTCAAGGAGCATCATCAAGAAGAGTTCATAATTCTCCTTGTCAAAATTAAAATAGAGATGCTTGATTGAAAGTTGTGATAAAGGGAAGTTTGCGATAAAACTATCACGGGCAAAATGATCGCTAGAGCATTGTTCCAATTCTAAAGTGTGTAAAACTTTACAGGATGTAATGATTCTAAGCAAATTAGAAAAGTCGTTGATTTTTTTAATATGTAAATAAGATAAAGAATTCACATGCTTGTAAATTGAGTTATAAATATTTTTTGAGGTGTAGTTGATTGATAAATTTTCTAATCTTTGTTGGTTTAATAATAAATTGGAAATCGATTTATCGATTTTCATGTAATCATATTCGTTCAATAATAATTTGGAAATCGATTGATCAACCGCAAAGTCATCTATTCTAACATCCAATGATAGGTTGTTGATTTGATTACAATTGCTCGTGATGATACTAAAGAAATCAAGGAATTCGTTTAAATTCATCTTATTAATCCTGTGGGGATTTCTATACTCGAGTTGGGTTAGTTGACTTAACCAATCAAAAGAATTATTGGGGCTTAACTTATTTAATGGAATAAAATTAAAATTATCATAAGTCCTAACACGAAAGTAATTAAACGTTTTAAATCCGCTTAAGGCATTTTCCTTGAGGAGAACCTTGCCGAGTAATTGCGTGAGCATACGCGACTTTGTAAAATCCTTACAATCGTTGGGATACCTAACAACCCACCTATGTACTGATTTAATAAAGTTATCGTAGTCCAACACTCTTATCAATTGTAGGTAATTGAACTGGTGACTCGTAAAAGGTTCAAACTTTAATTTTTGATACTCCAAGATGTTCTTTTCTTGTTCGGAAAGGAACGAGATGATGGTATTTATTAATTGCGCATTCTTTTTTCCATCGAGAGCGATCGAAAAGGGACGACGCCATAACACAGGAATTGAAAGTGCGCACCAAAGTTTGTTTACTTGAGCGCACATGAATAGAGAATTCAAGTTGGTTATGGTTGAGGCGATGATGTTCTCGTTTGAAATGTCGGTATAAACATGTTGAAAAATTCTCTCAAGGCAATCGGGTGGAAGATTTTGAAGGTTAATAAGTGATCCACGTTTTGATTTTCTTAATTTTAAGGAATTTCTAACTCGAAGTTTTATCTCTTTCACTATTCCCATCTTTAAGGTGTGAAAATTTTTTGTGGAAAAGCGTGAAAAATTTATTTTTAAATATGTATAAATAATTTTTTTTTTTTTATTAAAAAAAAAAAAAAAAAAAAAAACCTAGAAAAAAAGATTTTTTTTTTTTTTTTTTTTTCCGAATTTTTTAGCTCTTTTTTTAAACTATTTTGAAAATATCAAACAAATAAAGTTTAAATTAAATAGGGGATGGCGTAAAAAAGCAAACTGATCCAAATTAGAATAACAGTTAACAAATATAAAATAAAAAAATCGCCTCAATAAGCTTTTAAAAAGTGGTTCGGCCCTACGAATAATCTAATTATCTGATCATTACCATTTATCGCATGTTTATCTCACATAAGCGGAACATCCATTCCCGCTTATCACTGGTATGGTAAAAAGTTTGTTTTCTATAGAATTAATTACAACGTCTATGATAGGGTTCACAATATCCAATTGAAGTTATTTGTTATCATTAAAAAACTAATTTGTGAAATGACAAATTATTTTGATTTACGATGATGTTTCACAACCATCTAAATGTTGTAGTAATAATCACTGTTTCCTTTCGTAATTTGGTAACCATCTCGGCCATTGAAATGATAAAGAATTATTATTGTTGTTTAAAATTCCACAATACCAAGAAGTAATTAATATTTTAATGGATGTTATATTAATGATAATCAACCAAAAAATCTATTTTTGTGTTACCTAAGAAATGCTTCTTTGTTGAGATCTAAATAAGAATTCACTTTCTACCTACTGATTAATTTGCCGATCCTCAGTTTCTTTTAACTATCCTAACGGGGCAGACAGAACAACAAAGAATTAAAGCATGCCCGACAACGTTAGCAAGTTCATTGTGAATTTTTTAAAAAATAACGCTCGTTTGGATGTCTATTTCCATATATAAACAACGTATGATATTTCCTTACATGGAACGTTTTACAAAACGTAACAGTGGCATTGAATTTTGTAGACCAATAAATTAATTTACATGCATAATTATAGATAACCTCCCTTAAAATTTTATTGGTAAAATCTTACATTCATAATTTATTCGAACGAAGGAAAGATGATGAACTATTTTTAATTACAGCGTAATACGTTTTTGCGATCTAACTTAAACCTCATTTAATTTTCCGTTATCTTTGTGTCAAAAAAAAAAATTGATAAAAATCATATGCTACATTTTTACGAATCTAACTTTTTTTTCGAAAGTAAATTAATTAATAATAAATAAAACCTTAATGCAACTATATATTAAAAAATTTCATATATACAATAAAAAAAAGTGCTTAGTAAGCTTTCAACCATTAAGTGGATGATCGATCAATGTAAATTTTTATCCATTGATAAATCAATACCTAGTATTTATTTTTCATTTAAACTCGACCAGCCTTGTCTTCTAAACTTGTCAATCCATTCACACAATATAAATGATGTATTGATTTGTCAATTTGCTAACCAAAATAAATTTATTATTTAAACTAGTCACGGGACGGACGATCATAAATTTTTTTGAAAAATATTATCGTATCGCTACGAGTATACAATTTTTTTTCCCAAAATATTGTGGATGGCTTTTCCAAATCTTATAAACATTCTCAAATACTATTAGTTGTCCCGTGACTTTAATATTGGCTGTAACTCATTTTTATTTTTCCCAGCCTTTCAAATTTTGATGCTTTTGGATGGTGCTATGGGCGGGTCATATTAACTATTTACTATTAGTTTATATTTTCTTAAAATTAAGTATTAAGTTGCACTGTATTTGGGCCGAAATTTTCATTGGGAGAAGTCACATGTTTTCGGCGAAATTTAAGTATCAATGGCCAAAATTAACCAGAAAAACCTTTAAATTATCATCAGAATCCCAATATATTATACATAAAAAATACATTGTTTAACGGCATTTTTTTTTAAAGTCGACAAAGGATTTAATTAAAATATTTAAAAATGTAATATCCTAATGATTATCGCTCCAATGTTAATTAAACAATTAAATTTGTCACATTGAAAGAAATTCCATGTAGTTATATGTTAACTAAATACTAAGCTAATTTATTTTTCAGATTTATTATAATATGGTGCCGGAAGTCTTAACTCAACAATCACATGATTTGTTTCAAATTTTTTGCCGCCGATTTTTGTAATATCTACCAATTAAAAAGCGAGAATTTTGTGTAACAAAAAGGCGGGTTAAGAAAGCCACGATTATTTAAATAAAAAAAATAGACAAAATAGTCCTTTTTTACTTTTTAACCTTTTCAAAGAAGATACATAAAAAAAATAATAATCTTAAGCTAAGAATTATATATAAATAATAACCTAAAGTTTAATATTGAAAAATTTTAAATTCTTTAGCTACTACCTTATTAATCCATCATTCTTTCAATATTTTATGGTAGTCAACGATAGCGAAGCGGACGTGCTTATATCACCATGCCTATTCTTTGTCGATCATATATAAGTTTTTATCACATTTATCTAGTCAAACTTTTGATGGGTAAAATTATATTAATGTACTAACTATTAAAGTTGGTATAAAAAATGTAACACAATTTTAGCCTTAGGCTATATTAATTATCACAATCGCCGATCATCTGACTTTGGAGCTTCGGGCGAAACCACAGATATTCGGGCGAACTCTGAATTTTCACTATATATTAATTAACTTTAGGAATGTATGATGAAATGAAACCACCTCAATTCGCTTGAAACCAAAAGTTATTTTACAACCAATTCATTAATAAACAAAAAAAAATTAATTTAGTAAAATTAATTAATCTATAATAAATTTATTCATTATATTTTCAATTTTATCAAAATTTTAAATACAAATAGATTGAAATTTTGTTAATCAATACTAGAAAATTCGAGTTTTATTTATTTGTAAGATCTTTATTTAGATCATATAAACAATTTTTATATTATCAATTTATAACAAATTTTATTTAATAGTTATTCAATTTTAATAAAATTAATATTCTAGTACTCAAAAGATAAATTGCATATATTTGCACATATTATGCTGAATTATTGCAAAACATTCTTCTAATAAATGTCACTCAATAATGATTCAATTTAATAAAATTGCTTTATAACAATATAAATCTATGTATAAATTATGAGTTAAATAACTTTAAAAAATAAATTAAAACGGCAATTTAATATGTGATAAAAAATAAATAAATGGGCCCTTTGCAATAGAAAAGGGGGAAACGGCTGGAAAAAATAAAAATTGAGTTAATGCTAAATCTGAACATATTTTGACCTAAAAATCATATTTGGCATATAAAAGTAAAATTGATTTTTTCCGGTTGTTTCCCCCCTTTCTATTGCACTGTGATTAAAATCGAGATCTCCGCTATCTTGTTAGATCACTATTAGCATCTTTCTTGAAACATTCTTTATACAATAAATTAATCTTCTTTTTAGGAAGATTACGCTCCTCGAGCAGTGTTGTCATGAGACACGGACGCGGACTTTGGACGTTCGAGACGGGATAGTCTGCGTCCGCTTCCGGAAATTTCATGTCCTAGACATTTTGTCCGAAATGTGATCACGTGATAACGAATTAAATTTATTTTCTTCTTGAATTTACTTTTATAAAATAATTAAATATTTACTATTTTACAGTTTAACTTTAAAAAGCCATTAAAAAACTTAATTATGCTTGGATCAAAAATGTTTTATTTTGCAAAAAAAAAAATAAAACTTTCACTAAAATGGTAAATTTATGTCTATCTTTAAAAAGAATCTCTAATGCCTACTTAGCATTTGCATCAACAGCAGGGTAAGTAACGTCATTTATATTCACAGTATTATCTCCATCCTCTTCAGAATTTTTGTTACACTCAGCATTTCTCTCCTCCTCTAACATTTCTACCCAACCCTAAATTTATCAAATTCATTTTCTAATTAAGATTCATCAGCTTCATCATCTGACTCTTCAGAATTCTCTTCTGTTGGTACTAAATTATCAAGATTATTAGTGTTACTTAAATTACTGGAATCTTGATTAGTATTATCAGTGTCAATAAAAAATTCAGTAAATAATGGATTATTATGAAGACAATGGTTATATATAATTCAGCTTACAATTTACTCATTAAAAAAACTTTAATAACTATAAAATACAAAAAAATTTTAGAATATTTTGTATATAAATATAATAAATTAAATAAACTATAATTTAAAATATATCATCAATCGGTTATAGCATTTTGATTATAAGAAATCCATACAGTTTTACAATCTTTTAACAGAAATAACATTTATATAATATTAAAAATTTTGCAAACTACAAATTCCAATTTATTTGCAAAACATCAATAATACCAAATATCATTGTTAAATTGTTTATATAAATTTAGATTAAAAGGGTATTTTACTAACCAGAAATTATTAAATTCATTAAAAATACATTTTAGTTCATTTCTAGTAATATATAAGCCACTTTTCAAATTTTGAATAATTAATATTAGAAATTAAATGATTAAATTATTCCATTTTATATTTAGAATGTAAAAATATGATAATAAAAAAGACATTATTCTAAATTTTTCTAATGTTTTTCTAACTGATTAATCATTTTTGAAGCTAATTTAGTATTTGAATAACCTAATCAAAATTTGAATCAAATAGTTTATGCTATATAAACTTGAAATAGTCATATTTTGTCCATTGTAAAATATTGAGTAATTTGCAATATAAATTAAGTATTTGACTAATAATTGTAATTTAATTTCAAAATATAGGAGAATTAATAATTTCAAATATTTTATATGATAAAATTAGATTTTTTTCTACATGAAGATAAAGTACAACTATTAGTCAGTAATTTATAATTAATAGCCAATATTTAATAATAAAAATAAAAATAAAAATTAAATTTTAATATTTAATATTATAATAATAAAATTACTTGTAATGCTTTTTGATTTTTTAAAAGATTAATACATATATTATCTCTTAAACTATAAAGCAGGCAAATTTGCCTGTGAATATAAAAAAAAGTATTAATTTCTTAATAAAAATAAAATATTAATATTAATCATATAATTATTATATAAAAATATAATATTTTATAAATTTATTAAGAAGTTTTTTAAATAATTCAATTTTTAAAATTAAGTATTGAAAAATTTATTATAATAATTTTTTAAAAATTTTCTTAAAATTCATAAGTTTGCAAACTAATTGAATTACACTATTAATAAAAATCATAAATTTCTTAGTAAATTATAAAAATTGTAATAATTAAAATTATTCTTTATATTAAATTTTATTATATTCTATTATAAATGTTAATAAGATTGTTAAAGATCAATTATAAAATTTTTTAATTTATAATTTTTTTAAAAATTACAAATTTTTAGCTTATAGGTAACTTTAAATTATTTATTATATAATTAAAAAATAAAATTTACTTTAATATTATTTATATAAAATTAATATAAAAAAAAAATTTTTTAAAAATTTTAATTTTATAAAAGTAAATTAGAAGAGAATTTTTAGTAAATAAGCAGACATATTTGTTTATAAACTTTTAGGTTTAAGAGATAAAGACTATTCTATCTTATTTTACTAAAAGTTGATATTGAAATATATTTTTAAATATTTTTTTTATTAATTTCATAAACATGTAATAAAATATTTGTGATTTGCATTTTTAAAATAGTTGCAATCCAGATTATATAATTAATTGAAATTTTAAATTCAATAGATTTTTTAAAAATTTCACTCATATAAAAATTAAGTTATTAAGTAAAATATAATAAGAATACAATTGTTTTATTGGATTTTCTTAATCAATATCTAATAAATAAAATAAATAAACTAATAAATTAAATAACAAATTATGAATAATAAATAAATTTTGCTATTACATATACTAGTATACTATTAGTAATAATAGTATAAATAGTAATTTTTTTTTTTTCAAATCTTCAAATATTACTTTAGTCTTTTTGTTATTCAATATAATTTTTATATTCAGTACTTATATTTACTATTTTTCAAATATAAGACTTTCCTTCTAAGAATAATAAAAATATTCTTAATAACTATTTATTATTAATATTAATCTAACCATTAAATTTTAATTTTTATTAGATCATTTAATTTAGAAATAACTTTACTTTTTAAAATATCATCACCAAATGTATGACAATTAAATAATATAAGAAAAGGATTTAAAAATTCAAATAATGTTTTTACTTTATATTTATTGACCTATGATAATAGTTAACTACAAAAAACTGTAAATTAAAATAATAATATATAGAATTTTTTAAAATTTTTTTTAAATAAACTTTAAATAATATAATTATTTATAGAATTATAATATAAAAAACTGATTGATTATTTTATAAAATAATGATTAAGATAATAGTTGAGATAAAATATCTGTAACTAAAATAATATTATAATAAATTAACAATAAATTTTATTTAAACAAAATAATTATATAATTATAATTTATAAAAAAAATTAAAATACTTTATATAATATTTTACTTAAATTAAACTTATATTATTAGTATTTGATTTTTTATTTTATGAAAATGCAAAAATCACGCTTATTTTTCTTTATTTATTTTAGTAAAAACATTGAGATATTTTGTGAAATATTGAATAATTTGATTTATTTTATTGGAAAAGAAATTTTATATCATTTTTTTCTTCAAGTACTTATACAAATAATTTATAAAAGATTTTAAGATTACTTTTATTAACCTTTTTTTCTGTTTAAATAATATAATTTAATTAGAGTTGAGAAAAATAATATATTTAAAAAAATCTTATAACTAGAAAATATATAAATTATTATTTCAGATATCCTAAATAATGCTTTAAAGGTAGAATATATTCTTAGTAATACAGAATATATAATTGAAAAAAATTTTAGACGCATCTTAAAATATCTATGTTTGACTAATTTTAGTAAAAAGTATCTGATATACAATACTATTTTAAGTATCTTTTTAATTCCTTTTAGTTGCTATCTTAATTTTTGTATTAGATAGTAATTTAAATATCATAAATTATATGCACTTCTTTTCCCTTTTATTTATATATATTACCAACATATATTTTAGATTATTTTTCTCTAGTTTTAAGTTTATTCTTATTGTTATTGTAATTAATACATCTTTAGCTATAGTATTATAATAAAATCCTAAACATTATATTATATTTCTCCAAAAATAAGCAATTTTCAAAATAAGCAATTCCTAAATTAACTGAATACCTGAAAATAAGCAACTTAATTAAATTTTATAAAATATCATATATAAAAAAAAATTTTTTATTTTTAATGTTTCAATATATAAATTACGTTAAACATAATTGTTATTATCATCTTCAATATCATCTTTGATATTATCATTAATATTATTACCACTATCGATATCATCGCTACTATTAATATTATTTTTATCAAGGATCTCTAAATTAGAATTCAAATCAATCGATATTTCACAAGTTTTAAAGTATTCTATAATAATTTCATCAGAAATTCTTTTCCAAGACTTTTTAACCTATGAACATACATCACTAAATCTAGCATGATGAAGATTTCCTTTAGCAGTTTCTCTAGCATCACCATCAGCCATCTAAATATACTATTCTTTATGAAGATTATCCTTTAATAGTTTATTTATTGCAATATCCAGTGGCTGACAAATGCTAGTCAACCTACCTGGAATTACTGCAAGATCAAAGCCAATTTTATAAAACTTTTTTTTTACTGATTTTTCCAGATAACCTTTAAAAGAATCATATATAAGCATTGCTAGATTTTCTTGAGACCTGTTTTTTATTCTTATATTATTGAGATAATCTACATACCTTACTATTAAATCAGAGTTTATTTAACCATTTTTTTAGAACTAAACAATAACACCAGAAGGAATTTGTTCTTTACGTGATATTTTCTTTCCTTTGAAAATATATATTGGAGAAAATTTAGTCCCATCTATAATAATGAATCAATAGTACTAGTGAGTAAATTTTGATTTTATAAAAAAAAAGAAAAGCTTACCTATAGCACATGTAAGTACAACTATAAACCTATTTTTTTCATTGCCTGTTGCATGAATATAGACTGTTTTTTTACCCTTTGGATTGATGGTAAAATTATCAGCCATATCAAACCAAACAGATGTTTCATTCATATTATAAATATTTCTTAATTCAAATGACTTTTCAATTCTTAGGTTAATAACAAATTGGAAAACTATTCTAATTACTCTTTAGTTTGATTAAGAAGCTTCTGATATATTTTAATTCTTCTTCACAATGCTAACCTTTACCTTTTTATAAAAGCAGTTAACCAGCGGTGAGATGTTTTAAATTCGACTTACCATAAAGAATCTCTATATTTAATTCTTTTAAAATTTTCAGCATTCTACTTCATATTATTATATAGGTAATTATGAGACCTTGCTTTTTTTGTTCTATAATCCATTCATAAAGCCTCTTCTTAGCTTCAAGATAAAAGGCTTCTCGTCTAGAGCTAAACCTCTTACTTTTTCCTTTTGTTTCAATTGTCCAGTTTGAACTAGCAGCTACCTAACATCCTACTATGCTATAATTGATATCAAAGTGCTCTGCTACCTTAATGTAACCATGTTCTTTTGCATAGGTAACGACTAGTATTTTTTGTTCAATAAAATATGAAGTTTGTATACATTTATTAACTTTTATAACCTTTCATTTAACAATTCTTTTTTTTGTAGAATGTAGCATTTTAGCTGAATAAAAAAATTTTTTGTGATTTTACATGATATTAGATGATTAACATAATCAATGATCATAGAATTTATTGACAAATTAGCAGATTTTAGATAATACATCGTAAATTAATCAAAACATACCTGAAAATAAGCAATAATATAGCAAAAATATGTTGTTTATTTTTGGAGGAATATAGTATATATATGTAGGTTTTAAGTTTGTTTAACAGGTATAAGAAATTTTACCCTATGTAAGATTTTTATTGTATAACCAATAATTTAATTTTAAATTAGTTAAACTTATAGATGCATAACAAGATATGAATTTAATCAAACTTGGTATTAAGTTTGCATAGCAGTTATCTTATTTAGCAGTTATTTATATTTAAAAAAAAATTCTTTTATCTTATTATCTATTAGTTATATGTGTTTATTATTTTTATCTTTACATATTATTATTATCTTGTTATCTTTAATCTTTTATATATCATCTGAGCTATTTTACATTTTTATGTAATATAGCTAGCTGGAAATACTCAAAATAACAATTACAAAAAAACTCATATGGGGCTTTATCAATAGAAATATGATATCTAACAAAAAAGTTATTTTGAGATAATTGAAATTAGAGTTTAGTATAACAACAACAAATGGTGATTTATTATTAGAATTATATGCGTCTCAAAATTGAATCTTTACTATAACAATCATTTTTATAATTATTCATCGTTAGAATTTTTTACGCATTTATTCTTTGAAATATTTATCTACAATGTAATTTACATATTATTTCCTTATATTATTTTCTTACATATTATTTTTTTACAAATAATTTACATACTTTTTTTTAAGAGATTGTCTTACAAATATAACCAATTAATAAATTTTTTGATAAAAGTAAAGTACTATTATCTCTGTTATAAAATATAGCTTATTATACAATGAATAGCATGAAAAACGATATTGTTAATTTTTTATTGTGCTTTTTGGTGGTCTTGGAATTACTGGTTCAGGGTAAAGACAATCTTGTTTTTTTCTGACTTGAATGTACTTTCATATTTCATCAAATAGATACAATTGCTGAGCTGCACTTAAACCAGGAAGTGGAGTAGTTGCTGGATTTGGTTTGGCACTTTTTTTCAGATTTTTTTCCAAATTTCAATCAAATTTGTTTCTTTATTAATAGAACTACTTATCTTTACTTTTTCTTTATATTTATTATCAAAAATAAAGTGGTACTGTTTTAAAATATTTGGAATGATTTTGAAATATTCTTTTAACCATTCACTCTAATTATAGAAATATATAACCTGCTCTCCATTTTTGTTAAAGATTATTTGCACTATATTATATCCATTTGTTGTTGAATTTTTTACTACTTTAATTAGATCATCTAAATTATCAACCTCTGACTTAGCTAGTGCCAATTTAAATAATCCAAAAAAGAATTTGGGCTAAATTTTGTGTGCCTGATAATCATGAATGAATATGTAATTCTATCATAATAACCCATCATTACACATTATATTAAATAAGCTATCATTAAATTATTCTTATTTTGCCTGAAACAATTATCGGCATAGATAATTAAATGTTTTTCTCCTAATCCATATAAAAGAAAATAATTGTGCACTAGTGAAATAACCACATCTGCTTCTTTTCCAAGCATTTCACTTTCTTTAATACGATAATTTATCTAAAAATAATCAATAGTTAAAAGATTTTCAAATATGAATTAATAAATAACTTACTTGATGAGAAAATGCATCATTATATATCCCAAAAACATGAACTTTGTAAAGAGATTTAAAAAATGTATCTCCCTAATAAAATGTTAATTTTATAATTAGTTTTTTTAATAAAATCCAAAAAAAAATTAAAACAATTTATCTCTTTTTGTGATGAAGAAGGTAATTGAACTTGTTGAGCAAAGTCCCAAAATAGATATACTTTAACATCTAAAGAATTAATTTTTCCTGGACAAATTATATTTTCTTTACCAAGTCTTTTGATAGTAAACTTGACTCTTTCTATATATTTTCTAAATTTATCAGTTAAAAGCATTAATTAAAAATTAATTATATGTTTTAAGATATATAATAAACTTACTTGTAATATTCACGTTCATTATATGCAGCTTTAATATATGTATTCCATTTAATTACTTTTTGATCTCGTTTCTCTACAGTCCAATTACCAGTATTAAATCGCATAGTTTTACATAGGTCACTTCATGGAGTTAAAAACTTTATTTCAGGTGAATAGTTTTTCCAAACTCAACAAAAAGTACTTAAACTATAGTTAATTTTTCAATGCTTTCACATTGTTGAATTGCCATTAAATACTTCCAATGCAAAGATGAATAGCTTTCAATAGCAGGTAAAAAAATAACTTCCATTGTTTTACGTCTGAAATGTCATCCTAAGGTAAAAATCAAATATGTAAAAATGTAAATAAAATATAATATAATGTTAAAATATATACCTGGTGATGAAAGACCCCATTTGTTATTGTAACTTAATATAAAACTAACAATTTTTATAATTGTTAAAAATGAGATCGTTCTATTGTTAGGCTTTCCAATAGCTTTATAAACCCTAGCTTTGATATCTTCAATAGAGAAATGGGTTCGTATATTTTCCCATCTTGTAGTTCTGATTCTATAAACAAATTTAAAAGCTTTCAAACAGATTTCTTTACGTTAAAAAAATAATCACAAACTGCCTTAACCCTTTTATTACCTTTTACTGTTACATGTTGTGATCCTAAACTACTGACAAGATAACCCATTAAAAAAGAATCTTGATTACTTTTTGATAAACTTTGAAAATTTGAATTTTTCAAAAAAGCTCTTTCAGTATTAATTTTATCTTTTAGACTATTATTTTGACAATATGATGTTTCAATTATATTTTTTTTGAAACATTTTTCATTATTTCATTTGATTTCTTTATCTAAGAGTTGTATTTCAATAGCACCTAAGTTATTGCCTTCAATAATTTCAGTTTTTAAAAAGTTGTTGATATTTTTGTAATTGAGTTTCTATAATAACTAAAAATTCACTATTCTCCGCTTCTACTTCATCTAAAATTTTATCATTATTTTCTAAATTTAATTCAGAAATGTTGCTGTCAATAATTACAAAATGTGTTTAAAAATAAGAAAAATCTTGTTGCAATGTTTGAAGCTCTTTATGGATTTCAGAAAAAATGCTATTTAATAATTGATAAGTTATTTTTAGTTTAAGTAATATAAAAATACCGTTATGACAGGTAAAATTTTAGATAGATTTAATTGGTAGAATAAGAAGTCAATTTTATTACCATGTAGATCTTCTATGAAGATCATTTTGTCCATTTTATTGCCGTCGATCAATTATGTAAATCATCAGATGTCAATTTTATTGCTTTTAATAATCATGTAGATCATAGATATCCATTTAGTTACCTGCAGATCTGGCAATTTTATTGACACAGCAACTTTATTGCCTAGCAAAATAGCAACTTTATTTCCTTTGAATATTTTAGTTTAGTCTATTTAATTATTTAATATGTATAAATATCTTTGCATTTTTATTAAGTCTCATTACCTTACTGGAAAAGGTGACTAATGAGATTTTAATCTTTAGGTACTGAAATTATACATTATATTAATAAAGGAATATAATTAATCAAGTATAAACTTATTCTTCACAAACCCTTTGAAACTGTTATACATTATCTGTGATCCTTTGCATTCGTGTAATCCCTTTTGTTAAATAACTTATTATATGATATTGTATTGATTCGCTGTATTGACTTGAAGTCTCTAAAGCGTAATCTCTGAAATATCTTTAAGTTATCTTTGTGTTTATTTTGTATTTTATCATCACGTGTTTATTATTGAGAATAATTCTTTGACGTTATTGTGAATTTTCACCCGTGATTCCTTGAGTAATTGTCTTAGTTTTATTTACCCTTTTTGAGATTTTATTTGAAGTTACGAAACCTAACGTAACACTGTAAAATTATTGAATTTTGGAGGTTTATATATTAATTGTTTGTGTTCAAATAGATTCAAATTAATGCTTAATTTCACAATCTTATAATACTTATTTAGATAATTTTTTCGTACACAAAAAATTTTTTTTATTATTTATATTAATTATTGTAAATTTGCAGGAAGTTCAAAGATCGTCAACTCAATTTATAAGAATTCTTGAAATTCTATTTTTAAATTGGCTTACCGATCACATAAAATTACGAAAAATAGGTATAGAAAAAAATTATACTATACAAAATAATAATTTTAAAGACTGAAATATGTTCTAGAATGTTTGTTTTATATAGCATTGTACTTAACTCATTTTGGTAAAAATCGCCAGATACCATGTTTTTATTGATGAAGCCCCATATGTTGCTAAAATTATACATGCTAAAAAAGTAATTTGCATATGTGAAGCTACCAATAGAAAATATAATGAAGATTTTATTAATAATATGCAAATAGTCTAAAATGTAAATGAAAAGAACAAAAAAGTATTTTATGCTTTTTTAATCTAAAAATAATTGATAAAAAAGTTAATGATATAAATTCAAATAATAATTAGAATAATTGGAAAAGTAAAAAAGAAGATGCAATAAATGATAATGATATTATTACAATAGATGAAAATGAAGATGAAATTAACAAAAAAAATATTAATATAGAAATTATTAATTCAGAAACTAAATAAACTAATAGAAAAAGAAAGTTATTTTTAGGATTAAGTTTAAATTTAATTATAAAATATGTTGATAGAATACCAGCAAGTTATAGTAGAGTTTGTCATATTGAAGTAATTGTTAAAGAAATATATTCTAGATTATTTTCCTATAAATTTATAAGAAAAAAACTTAAGCCATTTCAAAAACGTGCGTTAAATCAAAAAATTATGCAGAATCTAAATGGCATATTAATAAAGATTACAAGTATTTTATTATTTATATTATATTTTTTATCTTTAATCATTAATAAAAATCTTTTTCAAATATTATTAATAGGCATTTCTGTATGTGTTAAGGAATGTACAGGATATTCTAAATCTGAAAAAATAATTTATAATGAATACTATATACAAAAATTCGATTCTATACTAATATATTATCTTACTATATTAAAACTAGCATCTGAAAATCTTAAATTTATGTTAAAATTCTATTTTGAACATAATTTTTTAAAAAAGTACTTACAAAACTAAGATCTTCGTAAAATTTAGTCTGTTATTAAGGATAATTATAATGCAAATGTATGGATTAAATTAACAAATAAAACAAATAATAATATATTTAAAGAAAAGCCTGTATTTACAAAACTTTGTGATGTAATGGTTTAAGTTGCAATTCGTAAAGATAGTAATAAAGATAAACAAAATATTCAATATAATAAAGAATTTACAAGCTTTCTTGTTATATTAGGAAGTTTTAGTATCTGGGCTCTTGATTTTTTTTATTAAAATTTAGAAGAATATATGTTTCAAAATATACAGTATTTTATTTGTTTATTTCTAATTAATTTTATTCATTAAATATTTTAAAATAATATTTTTTTTATTAAAAAATAGTAACTTTAGACTAATAATGAGAATACACTTATAAACCCTTCTCTTTCATTTGAAAATATTACTAGATTTAAAAGACTAATTGATATATTAGACTATTAAGAACCAATTGTTACTATATCAGATAATATCAAATTGAAACCTGCTTTTCATTATAGTTCTATTCTAGACTATATAATCAGATTAACACTACCAGTTGAACAAACTAAAATTAATATATATGAAGATATTCAACTAATTAAAAACAAAAAAAGCAATTGTAAAAGATGTTTATGCTTACATATTATAGGTAATTCATTTATTTAATTAAATCTATATATCTGATGAATTAAATCTCTTAATTATACTCTATTTAATTATTAGATACCATTATCAAACTTTTCACCTATAATTATTGCATTAATTGCAAATGATAGATCTGATAATGTATTAATTATAATCAGCTTTCATCAAGAATTATTAAAACAGATAGCATTTTAACTTAATATTCCAATATTATCAATTAGATCAAATATTACTATTATTGAATACAAATCTTAAGTTATAATTCAATTATATTGTATAGACGAACAGTTAAATTTTTAAAATAAAAATTTGATGTTGATTTTAGCAGCTTGATATTTTTAAATGTAGGACCTGTTATTCATGTACAAGATCCTAAACATACAAAAAAACTAGTTGTAATACAATTATATCTACACATAACTTCTTACTCTTAGAAATTCAATAATATAATATAAACAATTATTAAAATTGTCAAACCTTTTCAATACTATAATGTATTATCATAATATAATAAAGCTTGAATGCTAAGATGATAGTGTAACATATTGTGTATTCTGCTTAAGTAACTTACAATATTGTCATGATATTGAGGATACTGAGAATACACAAAAACTCTTTGTATACTTTTTTATTATGAGTTAAATAAAAATAATTTTAATAATTTTAATGAATTTTTTTTTTTATTAATTGACACATTTTTAATTTATTAGGTGAACTTATCAATAGCTACTTAAATTAGGAAATAATTTTAATAGAAAGAATTAAAATATCAATAATATCTTTTTTTATAATTTTAGAAAGAATATATAATAAGTATAAGTGAAAAGTATCTAATTTATTTTTGTTAGCAAGAATTTTTTAGCAGATCAAAGTTTTGTGATTTTAATGTCTTTTGCAAAATCAATAGTTTTATTAATAAAGGTATATCAGAAATATTATGCAAATTATCCATTTTTATTATGAATGCACAGATCTGAGGCTTGTGAACACTTTTTTTGATATAGCACATTAAATTAATTCTGATTTTAATTATTCTAGGCTATTACAACTAGTTCTGAAGATTTTTCAATATGCAAAAATATTAAGAACAAAAAATCTACATTAGAAAAAGAAAAATTTGTACGGAAAGGTAAGTAAACATAATTAATAATTATAAATTTATTAAGTTTAAAGTGAAAGTTAGAATAAATTAGCAGTGTCTTTAAATGTTTACTAAATTAATTTATTTAATTTCTAAATAGGTTATTATTTTGATTATAATATTAGAAATATTAACTCAAGCAAATTAGAAATATTATATGCTTGGCTATTAGATACTGATATTAATTTGACCATTAAACATTTATATAAATTGGTATCAGATCTTGCCAAAGCACTTGATATAAAAATTTCAAATACAAATCAACCATTATTACAGCCATTTTTAGTAATAAAGAAGCAAAATCTAAAAGTATAAACTGGAAGTTTAGAATTTTAAAATAATTCAAATGAATCTTTGAAATTGATAGAGAAATTTTAAATGCAATTAGTCAAGCTTTCAAGTATACTACTTACAAAATTAATGAAAATTTTGATTTTCACATATTGAAAATGATCAAATTCACTAAAAGCAAATTATTTCAGCCTTAAATAATACTAGAATTTTTCATGATAAGTAACCTCTTAGTAAGATTAATTAATTATATTACATTTATAGGAATTTTAATGAATATTACTAATATAACTAATAATTTAAAAAATTTTACTACTAGATATCTTCTTTCAACAGGAGATCTGAATTATTCAACTATGATTGCATTGCAAAGATATTATGAAGCATATAACTCAAGGCCAACTGAAAGACAAAATTGTAAATATATGATTAGTTGTGAAAAGATAAATTTTATTAATCCAAATAAGACTAGTTATATAGTTTCATATTTTATAA